ATTTTAACTATGGGACAATAACATGTTGAATAGCTTACATTGTTGCTTGAAAAATGAGCCCTCTCTTTCTCTCTCTCTCTCTCTCTCAATAAAAAAAAGTCCTACCTGAAAATTCAATTAGTAAAAAAGACTGTTGCGTTACAAATAGTTTTCCACCGAAAACACATGGATATTGAAAAGTATAGGGAACTATTTTATTAACCGACTTCCAAAAAAGGAGGAGGTTATCAGTTCGTCGGAATATTTTTATTTTTTATTTTTTATTTATTTATTTTTATGTATGTTACCGCATAACTTTGCACCACGTCAACCGATTTCGATAATTTTTGCAACGGAAAGGTAGTGTCTCAGAGGTGGTCCTATACTAATTTGGTTTAGATCCGATTATTGAATCATGAAATATATAGATATATATATTGTTTTTTAAGTCGGTTTTTTTTTTTTGCTAAAAATTACTTGTTTTATTGTGAAAGAACATCAAAAATGCTCGAAGAAAACTAGATTTTCTAATTTTTTAGCCCGGTGGATTCCGCGCCAAAAAACTCTTTGATATTTTGGACTGTTAATAAAAATAATAATAGATTGATGCTATGTTAGTGTTTGGCCGAGCTTCTCCTCCGATTTGTCGCGTACGCCTTGATGTTGTCACACAAAGTAGAGGGACCTACAGTTTTACGCCGACTCCGAACGGCGATTGTATTTTTATGAGAAGAAAAATGTTTTTCATGGCAAAAATACACTCGGAAGTGAAAAAACCTTTTTTCTATTTTTTTTGCGACGTTGCTTTGAACAGGGCTTGAACCCAGGCGCTGCGGAGTGCAAGCGCGCACTGCATACCACCACACCACAGCGGCCGCCTACTTTTGGGCTGTTACATTACATTAAAACATACTGCCGACTTTGTTTACATATTGAAAGCTAATCACTGATTTGTCTCGAATACTTTTTTTAGTAACTTTAAAGTAGGAGATTCGTGTTAATATTTATGTTGTCCGATACCTTAGAATATGTATGATCCAGATATAATCAAAAATCTGCGAAACCTGAGAAAACAATTTTTTACACTTGGTTTTGTTTGCTGCGATTTGGGCCAACTGGAAATGGTTACCTTTATTGAAAAATTTTGGCCCAATTAATCAAGTCTAACCCGTGCCTCAAACGTGTCCAAGTTGAGATAACGACAGTATCGCTTTGCGTCAGTGCTGCCTTTGGCTTGCCCCCTTATTTCTGTTCACACCATCATTCATAAATAAATGGAAAATAAGTTTGATTTTGTCCCTTTAAAATATGTATATTTAGGACTTTTTACATGTACGAGTAAGTATATAATAACGCACAGAACCACGATACATGGTTCATTATTCCAACACGTTTGTGACACGTGTTAATCTGGGTCAATTGAGTCAATATTAAATGATAAATATTTTTTCCTTATATGTAACCATTTCAGGGGGTAGTACCTCAAAAAACTAAAAAGAAGAATTAGTATTTTTTTTTATCAAGACCCTACCTCCTTATTTCCTTCCTTTTTATGAGAAATATTATTGCCTATTTTTATAGAATTTTTAAAAATCAGTTAGAGGTCGCGACTTGTCATTTTAGGCTAGAAAACACGATTTTGTACATTTATCAGTTTTTGAATGACTATTTTTCATTGAATTTTAAAGATCGAACATGTTGTGGGAAAAGGATTTATAGACCTTTAAAATGATATATTATTATTATTATTTTTTATTGATTATAATTAAAATTACAATTAGTACTTAGCACTAGCTACAAGGCTATCGGCATTAAAATGATATATAATAACACGGTGCTACAAAAAAGGTCATGAAATACACCCGAAACAAAACCTAGTGTAGGCTGTAGGTATGGTCGAGTACAACATGAAAATGAACCCTCCATTTTTTATATAAAAAAATCGTTTTTTAAAGTTTTTAAATAGGATTTATAAACCTTTAAAACGATGTATAACAGTATATTGTTGGACTTAGCTTGTTGGAAGTTTTCATCGGTTAAATTTTAATGACCCCCTATTTTTCTTCATTTTTTCAACTTTGATCATCGCGAATTTAAAAAATGTCTATGAAAGTTGCCAAATATGTGGTATTTATCTAAAATAATATTTATTTTCGAATAAATTGATACCTCGTCTAATGGAATTGCATAAAAATTGTCGAAGTTAAGCAAATTAAGGAAAAATGCGGCCTTGAATTTATTTGTGTGTATGTACCGGTTGTGCAGATTTTTTTTAATAGTGTGGCTAAGGAGTTAATCAATATTTACTCAAAATTTATTTATACAATGGCCCTTAAGCCAAAAATCGATTTTTCATGAAACTTTAGGAAAATTGGTATACACATTTTGCTTGGCCTCCTTAAGCACCATGTTGAATCCTTTTGGAATCGGGCATTTTAAATCGGATTGAAAATAGTCAAGCTATTAAGAGATAAGTGCATCAAGTAAGAAAATAACGTTTTTTTTATAAAATATGTTGTACAATCTAAACTGGTAAATCTACGAAACCATATTTTCTGGCCTAAAATGATAAGTCGCGACCTCTAATTGATTTTTAAAAAACCTATAAAAAGAGGCAATAATATTTCTCATAGAAATTAAAAGTATGCGCATACTCTGTACGTTCTCCGAGTAAGTACGCAATTTCTTAAGACAAATTAAAAATTTATACATTGTTGTACTTAAGCAGCGGAATGTCTTATCTTAAATCACATACATGTATACGTATTTTTCCTCGGGTAAACAGAAATAAAGTCACGAGCAAGTATACCTATGCTTCAACCTATGAATAACCGCGGTTTTTGGCCTTGAGCCCAGAATTTTGAGGGTTATTTAAAATTCTGAGTATGCAGATTTTTCTGCTCGATTAGATCTACAACACATGTGAACGTCGAAAAAGTATATAAATTTTTTTTGTCACACAGTGTAATTTAGATCGTCTTTAATAATCTGTATATGCATGTACGTATATGCGTATAGCCAGCAAAAAATCCGGAAATGGATCCGAAAACTGAATAAAAGGTGAAAAGAAAAGTGGCACGATTGTTTGGGAAACTTTTCTGGTTGTTTTTCTGAAATTTTTTATTCTTAACTTCACATATGAGGCATTCTCTGCAAAAAAAGCCACTCGGAAAAAAAAGTTCTTTATTTTTTTTGGCAATGATATATCTTATAGTATATGTAAAAACTAAAATAAAAAATATGGTGTTAGGTCTATGTAACGCGGGGTTGCCATACTGTCAAGGGTCAAAGTTTTTTGCAAAAAAATTTTCGAACCGCCATAACTTTTAAACGAATGAACGGATTTTAAAACGAAATTAGACTTTTTTGAACAACCTTTCCTAAACTTTAAAACTGTGTATCATAAAAAAAATTTAAAATTAATATTTCATAGAAAAAAATTAATTTTTTCAAAAAGGGAATTTTGGGACAGCAATATTTGTATGAGTTACAAATAAAAAAACCTACTCAGCGCAACGCTCTCAATCCGAGCAAATGCTCTGCTGTCATCCCTACTACATTATATTATTATCTATTTCCTTCGTGCTTTACTAAATGTGAGAAAAATTATTATTTAGGAATTTTGCAAAAGAAATATAAGAGATTCCATGTCCATAAATGAAAAATAAAGTACTTAAAATTGTCCAATACTGATAATTCTAGTTTAAGTCGGAGAATTCAAGTACCCTAAAATTCCACTAGGTGGCAATGTTGTATGCCTTCTTACAGCCGAGTTTATTCACTCATATTATAAGTATCGTGCCTAATAAAGTGTAACATTTTCTACGATTATCGCATTGGAAGATTTTTCTACAGTAAATATTTTTTTGTCGCTACTCATTACTTGCTTCTTTTTTAATTATGCCTTTTGTTAAGTGCTATAATCCTTTTAAATTTAAATGTCATAAAAATAAGAATGTGCGTAAAGTAAATAGGAAGAAACGTACCTCACAGTTTGTATTTGTGCGACAAATGTCGTAAACAGCTTTTGAAAGAAGGTTGGCCTAAAGTTACTGGTAAACGTAAATCTAAACCTGAATCTTCTGCATCTTCTGAGTATGAGAATAAATCTGAGTCTGAGAACGAATCTGATTCAGATTTCTCTTTTGCTAAGGATGATAAATCTACTAATAACGGTAATGCTTCCGCTGATTTGCTGCAAATTATTGAAAAGCTAAGAAATAAATTCAATGATCCACAGATTGGTAGATTTGAAAAGTATGAATTATTAAAGCTGGTACCAGATTTATGGGGAGAAAGAAAAGTAGCAAAGATATTTGGATGTTCACGCCAACTTGTCAAACAAGCAAGAGAAGGAAAAAGCGATAAAATTAGTGGAAATTCATTATCTGA